CCTTCGTCTACAGCGAAAGATCCGTGAGCTAACGTGCCCTTAGACTCACCACAGCGAGGGGAAAGTGAACCCGAATACCAGCACTGGAGTTGCAACCGACAGCGACTGGCGACAGGTCAGTCCCGCCACGGCAATTTCAGCAGAACGAGTCCGAGCAATTTAACTGCAGCAAAAGGAGCAATTTGAAAAACATAAATAAGGCTTATTGAAGCTTTGGTTCGCGGTATGTCGATTAGTACGACAAAAAAATTGGGCCTCCGTCTTCCACTGATGCTACTATCAACTCGACCGCTGAATTCAGTTTCGACGCTGAATCCGAGTGGACTTCTGAAAATTGATTCAAGAACTTTGGTGTTTTCCAGACAAACCGCTCAATTTGGCGGCACATGGAAAGTTCGAGTGTTCTCGCGGAAACGGAGCTGAACATGGTCTGTTCACGAGTTTCATACTCTCCAAACACCATCATGACTGGCTTCCGAGATACCATCAAGATATTCGGTCAGCGGAATTCTTTGTACAGTATTCACTCACAGTTCCAAGATCACCTAAAGGAATATTGAATATTTTATTGGATTTGCTGATATGGTCAACAAAATTTGCGAGCGCTTCAAGCTCGACACTACAATGAAGGATCAATTCAGATGTCTCATATTGGTGGCTAGTCTTCAATCGCCACATTATGCAGACTACTGACACAGCTGTAAAAGATCTAGAGTTACTGCTTCAGAAACCTCGCCCAGTTGTAGCACCCTTTTACTGTATATCTGCCATGCCATCCGAAGCATGAAAGGCTAGATACTATCAAGTTAATCAAGCCTAAACAGGAGCAGTCGAAATGCTGCGGTTGTATTCGAACTATGAACCTTATGGTCAGTAATTTTGCGAGATCACCCAGTGGTTAGATCTCGAATTTGCTGTCTGTGGTCCGAACCCGACCTCCGCTTCTAGACTTCCACTGTGTAGATTGGGCAACCTTTCACTATCCCAGCCCTCGTGCTTCCTTCCGCTGGCATGACAGATAGTCACCGAAAAGGTATTACAGCTGAACGACTATCTTTTTAATTGATTTCACGTCCTTATCGCTGTGTTGTCTCAGGAGCCATCCCAAATCTTACCACAAAACATCATCTTGTCTATCTCAAAAGTAATGCTCCAACGACTGAACAGCCCTATCATCATGACGTGGTGTGTAAAGTAAGCTCCAAAGGTTATTTAATGCTAAGCGGACCACAAGGAAACCGCCCACGCTATGTTGGCCTTGTGACGAGTGAAAATTTTTACACCATCTACCAGTAGACAACCAGAGAGACCATACAGAAGAATGCTTCAGAGCTCGCGTAAATATTGCTTTGAAAAAAGAACGCACTCCCAGTGATCACATTCAGGATGAAGTCCTCCGGCCGACGAGAATTTGTCGCAGTGTGCATCGATAGTGTACCAATTGTGTCTAAAGTATACCGATTCTGACCCTACTCTGATTTCAAAACGAACCTGAAGCGTGATTGAAAGACCATCGGCTGAACACACCAAACGTATGTTTCCTAACGTATCTGTTGGAAAGCTGAAACTATCTAGGAGGACGGAATTCTGCGCGGCTTTCACTGGGTTGCAATTTCAGTGGTGTCCATTGGCTCACCAACTGCACTGTGTCTGTCTCAGCCTGGGTTGGGTTGAGGAGCCTCAACCGTTGTCTTCATCATCATCTTCAAAAACACAACAGTGATGCTGCGCCGTCGTACAGCCATAATCTATTTAAAAACCTTAATGTGAAAAGAGTTTATGAGGAACTGGACTTAGTCCCAGCCTACCACGACCATTCCGAGGTGCCCAAACTTCCAGAAGTTTATTCGGACAATCCGGGTAGAAACTTATGACTAATGTAGCAATCCCTCATCATCGTTTTTTGGACAAAGTATCTGAATATGATGGCGATAATTTCATGGGGCAGCACCCCCTGACAATTTCGTGGATAAGAATTTGTCCCAACCGTAGACCCGTTGGAGCGTGCTAGACAACGAGCATCCCGCCCGTGACGTCAGAAACCGGTAGCCCTCTCAAATCAGTATGTCTTCATGAATTCTTCCAGCAGCCTGTAACATTCTGTCTGCCTCGTCCACTCTTCAATCCACAGTCCAGTAACCAGGCAGTGTTCCGATTTCGTCCAAAAAATTACGTGGAACTGGTTAAAGATACCTTAAGAATTCTTGTGAGGCTCAAAAGATGTTGATGTAGAAATTCGTGAACGTTAGTCACGGTGGACGCCGGATAGAGTGTTGCATCATATTGGCGGTGCACTTCAAACCACAGGAGTGAGTTTATCAAGGGAAATAACTTTAAACGGTACATTATGGCTCTAAAATGGAACCACCTGAGTCTCAAGCAATGTCAGAATAACGTGTATTCTATTCAACCAGAACATGCCTCCCGAGACCATTCCATCATCATCCCCCGGCGCGCTTGTTCACAGGCATCGAGTACGCTGACTGTATTGCTCTCCTTGGATCAGGTCCTTTGGAGGTGCAGATTATTTTAAATAACCTAGATAATCCTGCTGCACAGTCAGGGGTGCACTTTGCGCTTGTAAAGCGTAAACTGTATCACCATCATCAGCTGTAAAAGCCGCGTACTTGCCGCACCGTGACTCTGGCTGCCACAGTTCCGTTCACCGGTGATTTGGGAGGGATATTCATTGAAGGCAATAGTTCGAATGCACCCGCGCCATTAAGGGTGCGATTGTGCCATATCTGACAGTGTCCCTAGCCACTAATGTGCCATCCATGGAGCTAACAATGACCAGTGCAAGAGTTTGCTGGTAAAGGCTTCCACACGTCGCTGCCGAATCATTGACCTTCCCTGGCTTTTTTCAACCCATCACGTGAAAAGAGCCCTTTGGGGAAGTCGATCGACTAACATGCGGAGCACTTGGTCAGGCCAGTGCAACCTATGGACTGTGATCAGTTCATCTATCTTGGGCGAGTTATTTCTTCCAGAAAACCGTTCGACATCCTCAGCATTACTAATCCGGTGTTCCCACCAGACTCGGACAATGCTCCGAGGACATCGATGGTCAAACACTGAAGGCGTTTTGACGTTCTCAGCGCGCAGCCATCGGGTTTATGACCCGTATAATGATATGGAGCGCACCGTGACATGATAAACTCGACACTTGATGAACAAGCTGATATCAAGTCTACGCCACGGGTGGTGCAGGTTCACGAACCCGCTCCGATCTTCTCAATCCGTATGGAAATACATTCTTTGGCTAGACCACAGGGACTGATACAGCTGCCCAGGTAGGCGAATTTGTCGACTACCTCAGTCAGCTCATCCGCAAGCACGAGTTCATCGTTCATGCCCACCCAGTCTCAAAGCTGCACTTTATACTTTGAAGGTGCGGAGCGCATGTCAAACCGTAAGCAGAATTATCTAGACACTTTACTATTGTTTGCATTACATCAGCGTCAGATCCAAGAAGAAGCATGCATGTCTTCGAACTCGACATCTGTGAGCAGAGTCTTCTGGAGTGTTTTTGACCCGAGGCTGGTAGTGAACCTTCCATGATTGTACCCATGACGAAGTTGAAGAGGAAAGGTGAAGGAGGTCGGTCTTACCACTTGATGTAGTAAGCTCAGGCAAGCGCTTCGCTCCACAGATTGTCATAATGCCTAACGGTCTACAGGTCAAAGGCAGCTGAAAATAGTGTCGTTGTTCCAGAATACGGCGAAGGGTAAAAGTGTGATCGGTGCATCCTCTCGCAGAGCGGAACCCAGCTTGGTTTTCACGGACCTGTCCCCATGTGTTCAGTCAACCTCCAATGCATACGACTAGACAGTACCTTCGATACCATAGCTACCAGGCTCATTCCACTGTGGTTTTCACACGGCGTCCTCGTGCCCTTTCTGAAGATAGGAATAGTTGTCGACATTCCCCATTCTGCAGACACTTTCTCTTCACACCATATCGTATTCCAATTGACGTTTTTGCGTGTAAATTAATGATCCTTTTTTCACCTATTGTTTCATTGACCATTGCTTTCCTAGGGCTAGCCGATCGTATCAGTTGCTATAGAGTACGGTTGTTTCTGGTAGCAAAAGCCTTCTCCATCTCCCGAGCTTTCGATGTCCACCAGAGCTCTCGGTCTTTCCTTAGGCTCTTCAATATTTGCAGTTTTGATGGATTTACGTGCGCCGTCGTACGTACTAGTATCGATCTCCTGACATCAATCAGGACTACCGATCTCGGCCATATCCAGTAGTCATTTGGTTCTGCCGGAAAAGTCGGACAGACAGCACCTAACGTTGCTAGCGTAGCCACTCACATTTTGTCATGCTTCATCCACACGCGCCCTAACAGTAGTATTGGTGTACTGCAGAGAGTTGTTGGGCTAACTCATTTCGACACTGTTGAGCTGTAGTATTTCTTCGAAGATGGTAGATTGGCATGCTTTTTGTTACCTCCCGAAGGCATGAAGGGAAATGAACTGTTTGGCGTGCTCGCATCGTGATGCGACCGAAATCAGGTTGTATACCCTTAAAGGAGCAGTAGTCTTGAAGTATGGCTCTCCGGCGGGTGATGTCCAAGTGATCCGACCGGATCTACTGTTGATTTGTAGTTAGTGGCCATCAAGTTACGCAGTACGAACGTTTATGCTGATGAGAAAAAGTTGATGATCAGCACATAACTGGAAGAGGAGTCCCCCGTTGTCTGTGCGACTCCTAATCGACCGCCCGGATGTGATTCCAAGGGGCTCAGACGACCGACTTGGGCATTCATATTACCCGCAAGGATTACTATGTCAGCGCCTCTTGCTCGACTAGGAAGCGTCGAAAGCTGTCTATAGGACGTATCCTCAGCGTCAGAACTGCGGTCCTTTGTGGCATACACCAAAATTACAAATAGGCACTTTTTCTTATGTCGGTGCTCCAGAGGCTGCTGCGGCAGGATGTTAGAAGGTTGGTACCGCACTAAGTCACCGGGCGGAAGTGTCCTTACTTGACTGGATGTCTGTTGATATTCGCCTCTCTGCGGTTCTTCTGGCAACGTCTGTAAAAGAGTCTCACGTGCGACAAGTTGATAGATTTCTGTTTATCGTGTCTGTCGACGCCCCAACTGGCTGTAGCTCCGGCGCCGTCAAAGACAGGTTTTAAGACACCCTAAATGCCCTTATGGCAACGCAGCCCCGGCCTTGAACACTAATATCATGCTGTCGATGACGATGATGTCCTTGGCGTTCTGAGACGCGTAACTCACTCGGCCCTTGTATGCGTGTTTCGCAGACAACATACATCAATTTTAAGAAATAGTAAGGTTTCAGCGAGCATTACCGGTCTGAAAATTTGAGGTAGAGTACGGACGTTGAAAGCTCCTATGTAGAAAGGATCTCGTGGGTTTTGCAGAGTGTTATTTCGTTTATCGTTACTACGCAGCCTGCTGCATAAGGCCCATCGGTCACACAACTGACAGTCAAATGACCCAGCGACGTTTGCTCATGTGGTAGGAAGTGGTTGAGGACGGTTATTGGTGGATGCAGAACTGTGCGCTCAAACGATACTTCCTGGTTGCCCACCCTGAGAAAGTGGGTTTGGTTGAGGTGCCCCATATTGAACATCCGACTCAAAAGTCTTGCCCGCGATAGGGTTTTCCTTCGGGACCCTTTTCCGGGCCGACGACTCCAGAGTCTGACCTGCTCGGTTGCATGCGGTTGGCCTATTATGAAGGTCCAAGGAGTAAGGCCTTAGTGTCTCACTCCTAATGCGGCTACGCGCAGCAGATCTCTTGTGAACAGTACCAGACGCGTTGGCTTTAAAAGTATTCCGACTCTACCGGATAACTCGACAGCGCTCACAGTCAACCGTTGGATGATCAGTGTGCGGTTTTTAGGGCCGACGTTTGCTAACGCATCCTTTCTTCGGAGCAGTCAGCATCGCTGCTTCCATGAATATTGACATGGTGGTCGCCCGGGGGGAACACCTTGCTGCCTCCACACTCCCATCAAAGAGAACAGGTCGCCTCGTCACACGAGGTCTCGCTGCTCTTGATCTGACTGCTCTCCTTTGGCCTTCCTGGCGTGGTTGCACCATGTGGAACGAAAGTTCAGCCAGTGAAGCTTGCGGGATCACTGCAGTACTTAAGCCCGACCACCACACCAAGGTAGCAGCTTTATGTCGGGAATTACTTCTGCAAGAGTGAGTAGATCCAAACCTAAAACCCATGCTTGAAGATGAACCGATGGATGGGGTAGATAAGTTTGTCTATCTGGGCAGCTGTATAAATCCCGGTGACGAAAAACGAAATCACTCCCCGGATTGTTAAGGCCAGTTAAGCGTTTGCTGACCTCCGTCATTTACGACGCCGACGTGATATGAGCTTGACTGTCAGGGACAGAGTGTAAGGCGCTGTGGTTTGATCTGTCCTACTTTGTGAATGGGACACAGCCGCTGCGCGTTGAAGATCTCCGAAGTCTTTGTGTTTGTCCATAGGTGCCCCTGAAGCATTGCACAGGTCTGGTGGGAATACCAGACCAGTAACGCTGAAGTCCGTTCCCCTCGGAAAAAGGCTGACCAGTGAAAAATTAGTATTAGCGCTGATGTCACTGCGTCTGGTGGTGATGATAGCTGATCACAAATGGCTAGGTCATGTGCTTCGTCTGCAGGGGAACATTTTCCTCGTAGAGCCCTCTTCACCCAGCCCTGTGTTGAATGGTCGTCAGTCCATGATCTGACAACAAAGCAATAAAGCCCTTGTCAGTCAATTCAGTCGCTCTGGTAACTACCGCCTTCCCGTATGGGAAACCGCAGGACAAGACAATGCCGTTTTTAGTGACTCGGAGCTTGAGATAGCTCAGTGGTTAAAGCGCCAGAAGATCCGTCGTTCGAACCCAACCTCAGCATCTTGACTGCTCCTGGTTACCCTTGGACAACCTGGCAGTACCCCAACCCTCGTGCCTCCTTCAGTTGGCATGGCAACTAGGCACTGAAAGAGTGCTACAGCCGGACGATTTTTGGTGATTCTGACAGATGGCTCTGTCATGCGGTCAATGGCGGTTTTGCATCCAAACTATCGCCTCCGATACACCACTCAATTTCTGCCACACCGCACAAACAGAACCACTCACCGTCAATGCACCGATTAGGCCATCGGCTCCAACGCTGTCGCGTACCTTGCTATTTTCGTCCCGTTTTTACCTACAATATATACTCAGTAACCTCTGTAAAGATACCCACTTCTATTCTTATTCACTTACGTAATCCTTGTGATTATGAGACAACTTGGGAAGATCCTCAAAAGCCTGGAGTTAAACTAATTTTGTCAAAAAGGCTTTTGACCTCAGAATGTGCGGATTACATTTTCCTTGGCTTCAAAGAAGGGAAGAGAACATAGCTGTCTGTGGATCGACTGACCGATGTCAGTTCGGTGTTTTCGTGCTCATGAGCGTGGCCTTACCCCCTGAATACTAAGTGCATGCCTGAGGAGATGGCTTTGTTCATGGTAACAACCACCAGTAAGGCCATCTTGTCCTTCACTAAGCGCCTTACACTCACGAAGTATAAGGTCACGCCCCAGGAAATGCAGATCAATACAGGTTAAACGCACCAGATTGAGGTGGTTGGGGCCTGTTCTGCGTATGCTGAATTGCCGTCTAACGAAGGACGTGCTGTTTTCTGTTCCGAGATATTGTTGGTGAAAAGTTCGGGGAAACGGGCCATGAAAATGGCAACGTGAAATGAAAGCGGTCCCACCAAACTGAGTGTTGTGGCATCTTCGTACCGTCCTGGCTGGGGTACACGTGACCCTGCTTGTTAGCTGGTTGGAAACCCTGCAGGACGTGGTACGCAAACCATCCCAGTGGCACACATGCTGTCAACTAGCCGGACTGTCTAGCCATATTTCGCCTATCGTTGTGCGTTGGGCTTAGGTTCGATGAGGTTTCCAAAGAACAATGAGTTAATCCCGCCGATGGCGCTTTACTTCGGTCCGATGCTGAAGTGTATAGGTACCTTGTTTGTGATGGTTTTCCTTAAAGGACTTCGCATCGAATCCCCTCCGTTTTCTTTACACTCCTTACTGTAACTCTCTCCCTTTATGGTTGTATGGCAGTTGAGCGCCAGCATGTACTACTGGTGTATTGTTTCCAATAATGATGGCGAGAACGTGTATCCAGTGAACACACCATTTACGTTCCAAGAAGTGGTACATGAGGTTATGGGACGTTTTAGTGACGTGACTTACTGTAATGTGTCTGATGATGCTGATGTACGAGCCCCTAGAGCTCGGTTCGCGTTTGCGCTGGCAACGAAATAGCCCGTCTCTGAATCCAAGGGGACATATGTATAAAGCTTCAGTCAGGGCTATTTCGCTGCATGCTTGTGATGCAAAGCTCCTGCAGGTAGCGAAACCGAGTCATTTCAGGTTTTCAATAACCATTGTCTCACCTATAATTCGTGCACATGTCAACGAATCCTCAGGCGTTCGGTTATGTTCAGCGGACTCTCATCGAAAGATGCGTCCGGCGACAGAAGCTCTCGTATATTATGCATACTGGGTCACCCGAAAGGTGTTGTTTCCCATGCCCAATCCAGAGTTAGTGGTGATTTAACATGGAAGCATCGATTTTGAAAAGCAAAAGCAATTGCAAGTGTTCAACGCATGCTGTGTTGGCGAAGAACGATGAACGCAGTGGGGTCGGTGATGAAAGCTATCTTCGTATTTTATGTGGAAGATTGCTCACAACCGTTCAATATACAGTTTTTTCCAGTACTTCGCACTAACGAATTCCTTATCATCCTGTTTCAGTGTGTTCTCTTATCCTGAATTTTCCGACCAACCGGGGTGTGACTACAGCACGTTTTCAGATGGAATGGCTTTCCTCAAGGGTCTCCTTAAGAAAATAAAAGGTCCAGATGAGGCCAAAAAGAAGAGTTCCTTGGATAAAGTTCGGAGGGACATTGATCCTGATGAGGTTTGGGAGGTAATCGGTGAATTGGGAGATGGTGCATATGGCAAAGTCTACAAAGTGAGTCCAGTCAACCTTGCTTGGTGCTCATGCACAATGTGTTCAGGCTAAGCAGAGAAAAGGTGGAACGCTGACCGCATTGAAAAAAGTCGAATTCGACTCAGAAGTTGCTCTAGAGGATTTCATGGTTGAGATTGATATTTTGACAGAATTCAAACACCCTAATATTATCTCCCTCCTTGAGGTGTATATTTATGATAGTAAGCTTTGGGTATGTTGTGTTTAGTACGCACACTTTACCAACATTTTACTTGTCGGTTAAGATGTTTTTGGAGCTCTGTGATGGTGGGGCTTTGGACTCCATAATGACTACACTTGAAAAGCCTCTAAGTGAACGGCAAATCCGGTTTGTCGCCCGTGAAGTGCTTGCTGGACTCAAGTTCCTCCATGAAAATCTCATTATTCACAGAGACATGAAAGCTGGAAATATTTTGTTGACTTCGGCCAACGAAGTGAAGCTAGGTAAGTCGATTTTGGCTTCGTTCGCTCACTTTTGATTCTTTTACCTTATTTGGCTGATGTTAGGTCCCATACCTTTACATGCATTAAAAACAATGTAGCTTCAGAGTCCCTGTCGAGCGTTTGTTCACTAACCTGATCCTCTATAATGCGGAACATCGTTTCCTGTCAGCCGCAGCCCAACGTCTGGTCCGTCGAAAGCGACGTCGATTGCTCCCTTTCCACGGGATGACTCATTTTGGGGAGTAATGTCGTGCATGCCGACTAAGCAAGGAAGATTTATTCAGAAATATGTGGGAGTAAATATGGTACAAAAATCAATACTTTCATTCGGAACTATATGAGCTTTTTATGCTATTGTGTGTAGTATCCATGTGAGGTACTTCGCAGCTCAGTTAAAACTGTTAGTGAAAACGATTTTACTCCTTCAAATTTTTTTGTCCTATGAGAAACGTATGCTTGGGCGCGACGACACGCACGGAGTAACTTGAAACAAACACTGAAAACAAACAAATGTGCAAAGCCGTATATTGCCTTTAAATTCTAGGCAAACCCGAAAGGGATTGGCGGGTGAGCTCCCAGAGATGGGCACCAGCATTAAACAATGAAGTACTGTTACTGTCCATCAAGTGCTGTACGTTTCTGCACTTTTCCCCACGCAGCACCATACGACCCTTTCCCACGGAAGGTTTCCATCATGAGCCATTTCGCTTGCCCTGAAAAAAATGGGCGGATATA